GGTCACATGGGATGTTTCCGATCCCTGAATGGAGAGTGAAATTTATCAATGGAGGGAAAGGGAAAATAGCCAATTATTTTCGGGGATGCTGCATGAAAATATCCAGCATTGAAAGCTTTTTCACCTAAGTGTTTGCACAACTTTCAGATTCCAGGAACAATTTTGGGAACAGCACCCTTGCAGTGGGTAGCAACATTTTCAGAAAGCACGTACCATGGGGCACTAACACAGCTGAATTCAGGCTCTTTATATGAAAGAAAGTTTGCAAAGGCTTCTGGACAACATCGGCCCCACTCTATTAACACCATCATCTTCTCTAGTGCCATGTGCTCACTTAAGGGCAACAAATTCTTCCGCATAAGGAGTTATACATCCACGGTACACCCACATCTTGAATACTGTGTACAGATGTGGTTGCCTCATCTCAAAAAAGATATCTACGCAGAGGAAAAAGTTCAGAAAAGGGCAACAAAAATGACGGGGGGGGTTGGAACGGGTGCCATATGAAGAGACATTAAAAAAAACTGGGACTTTTCAGCTTAGAAAAGAGGAGAATTATGGGGGATATGATAGAGGTCTACAAAATCATAACTGGTGTGGAGAAACTGAATAAGGAAAAGTTATTTACTTGTTCCCATAACATAAGAACTAGGAAAATCTACTTGTTTTCTTAGTCTATAAAGTGCTACCAGACCATTTGTTGTTTTTTAAGTTTATCCTGTACAGACTAACTCGGCTACCCCCTGAAGCTTGAAAACAACAACAAATAGTCTAGTAGCACCTTAAAGACTAACAAAACATGTAGGCTGTGTCTACACTGCACCCCTTTTCCGGAAAAGAGATGCAGATTAGACCAGTCGGAATTGCAAATCCGCGGGGGATTTAAATATCCCCCACGGCATTTGCATTTACATGGCTGCCGCTTTTTTCCAGCTTGGGGATAAGCCGGAGAAAAGTGCCAGTCTAGACGTGATTCTCCGGAAAATAAACCCTTTTCCGGAGGATCTTTTATTCATACTTGAACAGGGTTCAAAAAAGAGCTAAATACATTCATGGAGGATAAGTCCATGAATGGCTATTAGCCAGAATGGGTAGGGATGGTGTTCCTAGCCTCTGTTTATCAGAAATTGGGAATGGGTGGGATCATTTGATGGTTCTTGTTCTGTTCACTCCCTTTGGGGCACCTGACAGTGGCCATTGTCAGAACACAGGACAGTGGGCTAGATGGAATTCTGGTCTGACCCAGTCTGGCCATTCTTACGAGTTGATTAGCACACATGTCCACAGGGAACTTCCCCTGGCACCCAGTGCAGCAACGTGCAATTGATCAGGTAAGTGATGAGACACTTTTGGCTTCAAGCACCGACACTGCCGGAAGAAGGACACTGTGGCTCCTAGGTCTAGCCCTACTCTACACCCGGCCAGATCTACACTGGAGAAATATGGTGTGATGTTTCTGACAACGCCCAGAGTCGCTGCATGGAGTGGATCGTTCCGCCACCGATGAAGAGTGGAAGATTTTGGTGGTTTACCTTAAGCTGTATCTTTACGGTCACACATAAAGCAACAGCCCAATGTGGTGAATGACAAGATGTTGAACGGCCTCTGGCAGATCTTACGTGGGCGACAGGTGTGAGGTTCTCAGCAAAGTGAAATAACCCTGTTGTTTAACTCTTAATCAGCAGCAGGGCGCTGTTGATGAGTAATGTTCGAGCACCGAGGGCGCGTCTGGCTTTTCACTGCTGTGCCCTCTTCGTAGGGGCGAGAAAGCCGCAGAGGGGAGCTTGCCCATTCTCTCTCAGACTCAACTCTGCAGATGCCGAATTTCTAAGCCCTTCCTAATGCGTGAGTCAGGGTTCCGTTTTTCAAAACAAACTCCAGAAGGTGGCTTAAATCAGAGCCCCATTCAGGGAAATGCTTTCAGTTCCGATCCATCTCAACCTGGCCAACACCCATTGGCCTCCTGGGACAGAATAATAAGGGATTGTCAATAAGGGATTATAAAACATACACATGGGAATTAGGAGTGTGGGAAGTGCTGTAGCAGCCCTGGGCTCCTGGCTGCCACTCCATGCACCAGGTTGGCCCCGTATGCTGCCGCTGGCCCCGTATGCTGGTTCTTGGCTTCCATCAGGCTCTGCCGCCAACGCCGCAAACTGGGGTCCCGGTTAAAGCTCCACATGCCAGGGGGCAGCAGAGCTCCTGGGGCCGGGTGGCAGCCGAGAATCCAGTGCCCACAATCCCAGCTGCTGGCCCCACATGTTGGGGTTTTGCTGTCAGCGTCAGCTGAGGTTGGGGGGGAGGGGGGACACAGAGCGCAGCACCCCCACTTTGAAAAATGTTCCTGCGCCACTGGTTATACGCAGGAAAAGACAAGCATACTGAACATCACTTTGATAAGAAAGGCTCAACTCAATGGGACAACCTATTAACAGCCATAAGTTGCCATGTCTAACTTGTTCAGGTGAGTGGTGCAGATTATTGTCTGTAAATCCTTCCTTTTGCCGAGAGACATTTGAAAAGAGGGCAAGTCGCAAACGACACTGGCTGGGAATCGCAGTTCCCAATGAGACAGGCACCATCATTTCACAGCTGGTTTCTCACCGCACACGAACAAAAAAAGCCAGAAACAACAAATCTGGAATGAAAACAATGGTTTACACAGAAGCCCAGGGCTGGCAGATTGCTGCCTCAAGCTTTCGTTAGCGGTATCCCAGCAAAGCCTCTACAATCCAGGACACATTAGCAAACCAAACAGGGAACTCACCGTATCACCAGGATGGCATGAACACGGATGAAGCCCTTAACACAGAACCCCACCAACTTTTGGACTAGAGCTCCCTGAAGGCTGAGCGTTTGGGTGGCCACCCAGGACAGATTCAGATGCCGACCAGCTGACTAACAGAGTGCCCACATCATGTGTTTCTAATGGTGGTGCACATCCACACATGCATTGGTGCACATAACAAAATTTATTCCACATGTGGATGGAAAAATTAGTGGGGATATTGGACCTATGCCTCTCCAGGCACAGGCATCCAGAGAGATACCTGTTGGCAGATGAATTCCAGCTTCCACTAGTAAAAGGTAATTCAAGGCCTTCCATATCTCCTTGGGTTTTTGCTTATAATGGTTTAAAAGATAAGTCACCTGCAACACCTTGCATCATGATTCGTTTGGGCGGTGGACACCGTGAAATCTCACAAAGAAAACTTAGCTATGATCACCCACCAAGGTAGCACTTATGAGATGCGCTGAGGCTGGCGCCCCCACAGAATGGACTGACGAGCCTCTCCACAGAACCGTATTAGCCAGAAGTCGCCCTCGCCAGTATGCTGGCTTTGTAGCAACCTGCACGGAACATGGAGCATCGGTTGCTGGAGACACCACAACGTCAGACCTCAAAGAACACTACTCTGTGGCGAAAGGAGGCATTAGCGCCCCTTCCCCATGGCCGTTCTATCCATGGGCTTCCTATGGGGACTCCCAGCAAGGTGGATTGAGTGCCACGGAGATTCCACCACCAGGCAAACAGTTGAGACCACCAACTCATTTCCTCCAAACCCCATCCAACGTTAGCAACGTTCAAGCTCTACCAAAATGGGGTGACATAAAAATGCCCAGACTGGGCCAGGTTTTCAAGGGAGCTCCCCAAGCTTTAGAAAACGTGGCCACAACTGGGAGCTGGACTCTGAGAAAAACTCTAGCCGAAAAGTTTCATTTCTTATGCCCACTCGCTGGCTAACCAGGCCTGAAGGAGGTTTGTTCTTTATTATAGGGATGTTTCATTTCCATTAATTGACTAATCGAAGTGTCGATAAGGGCGCCTTTGCCTTTGAAGCGTAGCAACAGCCCCATGGCTGCAGGGAGCATGGGGAAGCCTCACAATTAGTCCGAGGCAGGATCCTTTAATGTGGATGAACTACCTCAACTTAAAGCCTCAGGAAGCACTGGGAAATAGTTACTGTGACGGGGTGGAGCAACCCCGCTACCCCCCACTAGCGCAAGACAAAGAGGGGGTGGTAGAAAATGGCACCGGGACCCAAACTCCCCCAGGCGCGCAACAGGACAGCGGGGTAATGTGGCATCAGCAGGCGCCAGAACAGGGTGCCTGCGTCACGAGCGCGCCCGAGCCAGCCGCTGACGTCACGGGTGCGCCCGAGTGCGTCAAAGGGGAGGGCGACCCGGAAGGGCCGGGTTTAAAAGCCACCGGCGAGTTAGCCAAGGGGTGGTGGTCGGGCGGCAAGCAGGAGGAGAAGAGGGGAGAGCACGCTCCCAACCATGACTGAGGGCGGAGTGACCAAGGCCCAGGGTGGGCCATGAAACCCGACAGCACGCGCGTTTGGGGGAATCTCCCTGCCTGCTACCGCTGAGAGCCTCGCGCTTGGCGTCAGGGCCCTGGGCTGGGGTCCGGAGAGAGGGTGGGCCTGGACCCCCACTCCGCCCGGAAGGCGGTATCTACAGTCACACTAGCTGCCCTACGGGGTGACTTGTGACAAAGGGACTTTTGCCTTCCCCCGCTGGCCCCGTGCTCCCAGCGGCATTTCAAAGCGGCAGCACCGCATGGAGACTGGGGTCAGCTGGGAACTCTGAGTCCCCAGCTGACCCCGGGCTCCATGTGGATCTGCCACTTTGAAGTACCCCTACCTCTTCCCCTCTTCCCACCTTGCTGCCTCTTTTTGATAGAGGCAGCAAGGGGGGGGAAGCAACTAGTCAACTAATGTGTTGACCAGTCATTCACATCCCTACTTTATTATATGGTAATCGTGAGATTTCAACCTATCCTAAGAGTCTAAGATTAACTCTTTCACAAATGAACTAAAATTCCTCATCTCTCTAGTTTATACACAAGCTGCTATGTCAAAGAACTGTTCAGCCGGCCGGATCTCCTCCCAATAAAGCCATTTCCTTACCCCGCTTCTGTTTAACTATTCCATACAGTTGGCCAAAACCTTTTTGGTTTTGAGGCCAAAAACAGTTTTGATTTGTGGCCTCAAATGTTCATTTCCTTCAGAACTTGCCATTTTTTCAATGGAAACTATTTTTTTTTAGTTATATATTTCAATTGTTCATCATAACCAACAAATTCTCACAGCAAACGACCATAAACGTGCACGTGCACACACAAAATTCAAATTTCTCAGCAAAAAATAAAGTGACCATTTTGGACTTTCTCTGGGATTCAGCCAAGGATATCAGATCCAAGATCATCGGAAAGCTCCAAGAACCAATGCAAGTAGCATTTTCCAACCCTAACAAGGGAAAGAAAAGTTTTTTATTGACGTATCAATTTGTTGTATAAACTGCTATCACCTCAGCAGCATTGTAGCACACTGGCATGAAACAGCTTTGGGCGGTTTTGGCTAAATATGAGCTATTAATCTCAGCAGCAGTTTATGGCTTTGGGCACCACAAAACAGCAGAGCTTATCCCTAAATTAGACCAGATTTGCAAGCTCATCTCTGGCATTTTGAAACTAAATGGATAATTAGACAAGACCAGACCGAGGGGAGGGAGAAAGTAGGAAGGGTGAAACCACCATGTGTTGACTAGAGATGGTCTTCAACCAGAACATCAGATCCAGAAATGCCCCCTCAGCTTTCCAAAGTGTGGCTCCTGAGCTGTTGTTTGTGGCCAACCAGCTGTTCCAGGTTTGAACACTTGTGAATTTGGAGGAAGATTACGTGCTGCACCACATCCCAGCTCATGATCTAGCATTGTTCATGGCCACCATACTTTGCAAGCTTGTCAGGGCAGGGCATGCTTTTCACCATGAGTTTGTTCAGTGGCTTGCACCATGGGGCCCTCACCCTTGATTTCCAGTACTACTGCAACACAAGCAATAATAAATAGCCAAGGAAGTTGCACTCCATGAAGATGGCAGCCAACTCTTGAAAACAGCAAGATGAGACTTCATAGGACATTTGTAGAAGTGCTCATTGGTGGCCAGAGATGGGACCAGGTCTGCTCGATTCATGGAATCCCTATCTCGTGTCTAGATTACGTTGGTGAATCCTGCGCAAGATCACAGCAGAGGTTTAAATGAGGAACCGCCGGGTCCAAAGGTGGGAACTGAACCAGGTGAGTCAGGAAGGAGCAAAGCAGGCGGGAGCTGTAGGCAGCTGTTCATCGTCTCATCTAAGAATGAGAACAAATCAAAGTGCAGGAAGGGGACAAAGTGAAGACCCAAAGTCAGTAATGTTCATAAGTCATCGTACTGACTCATGCTTCAAGATCGACTCATGGACCTTCAAGGGGGGGGGGGGGGGAGGGTCACTGGTCTTCATTTTAGAGATACAAAGATGAAAATTAAATGTTAGGCCCCAAATTCTTTCATTTAAAATAAACACGTGCACACACAAAAAAAATCAATCCAATCAGATTGGTAAAAAAAACTGGATTGGTTTGTCCAAAACATGAGAGAATCGAAAAAAAAAATCAATCCAATCAGATTGGTAAAAAAAAAAACTGGATTGGTTTGTACAAAACATGAGAGAATCAGTTGTATCGAAATCCCAGCTCCTTCTCAGAATGGCCACGCTCACTGGCACCATTTAGGTTAGGTCTGCACTGGGAAGGGATGGCAACAACAGTGCTGCCGACATGCAAAAGTCGCCAAAAGTGAAAACTGGTCAAACCAGGTTTTTTTGCCTCCCGTTGTTGACATTTCATGGCCACATGGCCAGCACCATGTTGACATTCCACAGTGCAGTGTTGTGGCAAAGCAGAGGTGATCCCTGGGTTTCTTGGGATTCCCTCCTAGCTCTGGTAGCTCTCCGTGCTGAGGAATGTCAAAGCAGCACGGCCGTCTCTTCAGCCCTTCCTCTGCAGCAGCTGTCTACCTGCCACTGTGTTCCCAGCCGGGCAGAACAGGAGCCTTTCTACAATTTGTTCTTTGTTCCCCAAGCAGAGCAGCTTACTCAGCTGTGAGATACTTCCTGGAGCTTTGAAAGAGGAGTGCATGTCTGCAGGGCAGCTGAGATCATAAAACACTGAGCACAGCCATCAGGGCAGGCATGTGGGATGCTGGCGGAAGCCAGTTCTCTCAACAAAACAAACAACAAAGTCCACATTGGCTCTTTGTCAACAATAAAGGGAGGGGAAAAGAAAAGTCTCTCTCAAAACTGGAAGTTTTTTGTCCCAAAACCTGGGCGCTTTCCACGACAAATTCGCTCTCACTGTTTTGTCGTCAAAAGGCAGTTTTTGGTAACAAAACATACCAGTGTACACAAGGCCTTAGTCAGCCAGTTCTAATTACAACACCGCTTGATTAACTCAGCACCTGCCATTCCCCTGCAGAAAGGCACGCAAAACCACGTAGGTAGATGGATTACTGAAAATTAAGTGATGCTAATCCCAGGCAAGGACCTTTATTCCTGGGGAAAGTGACCGTCTCTTCCACATCACAACTCTTCCCAATCTCCTCTTAATAACATGCCCCTCCCCCCCGCGTGTTGAAAAGGTTAAAACCACTAAGTGATCTAATCCATGGCACCACTGACACGGAGCACTCAGAGCTGGACAAAAGAGGAAATATTCTTCTTTCATTTAGTGCTTTCATGAGGATCCCTCCTATTATTGTCACCTGAATGTGGCATAATGATGCAGTGCGTCCTTAGGTTCTTCCCGAGAGCGAAAGCAAGTGAGAAGGGAACGGGGGAACTTGAAGCATTGCTTTTGCAAAGACTGATTACCCTTTGGCACACTAATCCCAAAGACTGGCTTGAGCTAAGAACTGATTATGCGAGGAACCAATAACCAAACGTGCACTGCTTTGTCAACGCCTTCCTACTGAACCCTACATAAGAATGGCCATACTGGGTCAGACCAAAGATCCATCTAGCCCAGTATCCCATCTGCGGACAGTGGCCAGCACCAGGTGCCCCAGAGAGGGTGGACCGAAGACAATGATCAAGCGATTTGTCTCCTGCCATCCCTCTCCAGCCTCTGAAACCGAAAGACAGCGAGCATACTTGGACAGAGAAAAAGTCCCAGGGAGGCTTCCCTGGAAAATCTCATATTGTAGCTATCTCAGGATTTCCTGAAAGATGAAGACCTTTCTTTGAGTAGGTTACAATCGAATCAACTCATGTTTACTTGGTACCCAGCATCTTCAACCCAGTAAGTGTCTAGGGATGTAAACGGTTAACCAGTTAACCAGAAAGCCTCACTCTTAACGTGTGAGGCTTACCAGTTCTGGTTAACCAGCCTGTGCCCGTGGTGGGTCCGGCCTCCCCTGACGCCGCAGGTTACATCCTGACTCCCCAGGAGCAAGAGCCCACAGCGACACCTCCCTGGGAGGAGGGGCTAGCAGCCCTTGCCAGAAATGCCTGAAATGCAGCTACCTCTGCGGGGGAGCCACTGTGTGCCAGCAAAAGTAATAACATTTAGGAGACTCAGTGTAACCCACACATACCTAAATCAAACTCTGGAAGATCCATCGTGGCAGCAGCGATCTGCCTTTTAGTGTCGACAAGGCTGAAGCCTTTACGGTGCCCCAGTTGTGTTTTTGCCCACGAAAGCTTCTCTCCAAAGAAATCTGTTAGTCTTTACGGTGCTGCAGGACTCCTCAGTCGCTTGACGCTGAACCTAGAGGGGAAAAAAAAAAAAAATCACACAACTACTTTATGGCACCTGGAACCTAAGCCAGGACTCAATGGTGGTGGTCTGGCAACATTTAAATTGGTTTCAGACGAGCAGCCGGCCGCTCTTAGCTGAGGTAGGTGCCTGGGATAATAAAGTTTATGAAATCAAGGCCACTGCAATCTTTTTCACGGGGCTTCTCTTCGGTCATTATAAACCCATTACTTGGAGTTAATTGCATAGTGTTCAAGACAGGCTTATGTAGATGTGGGAAACCGTCTCACAAGAACCAAGTGCCTTTGGCCCTTCGGTCACTGACAGCTCAGCGTTTCCACACAGCAGCTCAGTGAGTTTCTTAGCTAACCGGGGAAGGCCCAGCAGCTGTGATGCAACACCTGTCGCTTGTGGGAAGGGAGGCACTTGCTTCTTAAAAACACCTCCCCAGACAGAGGAAGTGAGTTTGAATGGGGAAACCTCGGAGGGAGACGCTTCCATTGTCTCTTTTGCGGTTTAACCAACCATGGATGTCATCTGACTAGAAGATTTGCCCGGCATTGCTTGGGTCCTTAACGCAAATACGTTTTGTTCTGCTTCATTGAAATCGTTGCTCTGGGGTGGGGTCGGGGTGCAGGCTGCCTCAGGGAGAGAGGACAACCCCAGCCCTCTCTTACCACAGCAGCTTGGGGCCAGGTGAGAAGCGCCTCTCCGTGGCTGCTGCAGCTGCAGAGGGCACAGCTGGGGGATGGGTACATGTCCCAACCAGGGCAAAGAAATACACACAGACAAACTCTCTGATATATATATAGTAGAGAGCTGTCCCTTTCTTCACCCCTGCCAGGTCCCTAGTATTACAGCTATCCCGGCTGTCTTGGTCTCCATGGGTACATCTAGACTACAGCCAGTTCTGTCGACAAAGCAAGCTGCTTTTTTGACAGAGAGTCTAGATGCTCTCTTTTGGAAAAAGCACCGTCTGGATGCAATGGTGCCTTTTTCAACATAACTCTGTCAAAAAAAGGCGTTATTTCTCGTAGAATGAGGTTTACCGCTGTCGACAAAACTGCTGCGTTCTGTCGACTTACTGTCGACAGAACTCGGCCGTAGTGTGTAGACAGGTATAGTTTTGTCAACAAAAGTCCACTTTTGTCGACAAAACCCTGTAGTCTAGACACACCCCATCTCCAAGCCCCCCCCCCCCCCCCCCATGGTCATTCTACAGCATAACTGTCCCTCTTACCAGACCCTTCCCTTTCCACTTTATGAGAAACAATCGAATTCCAGGCACAACCCATTGCCCTGGCACAACCAAAACCTGCCCTTGCTTTAAATTCTGATAAGAGGAAGCTGCATCCACATTTGGTGGTCCTGGCTCTTACTGTTTAGGAGGAGTTCTTGAACAAAAGGACTCACAGCTAGCTGGACGGACACACAGACAGAAGCACACCCTCTCTCAGATATATAGTAGAATAGATGTAGAACTACCCTGGCCAGATGCTCAGCTGCTGTAATAGGCATGAGTCCATTGACTTCAAGTGGAACTATCCACATTTATACCACATGAGGGTCTAGCCCTTTGTGTAACTTAGAAGGATAATTTAGATTTGACGACACGGGGTGGCTCACTTGAAGACTGCTTGTTCTGTGCATTCCCTCTGGGGCACCTGGCATTGGTCACTGTCAGAAGACAGGCTCCTGGGCTAGATGGACCTTTGGTATGGCCATATGTACTAGAGCAGTGTAGATCTTTCTTAAACTGTGTTCCGTAGCATGCATGCGAAGCAGTTGGAGGTGTGCCACGGAGAACAGAATTCAAAATGGCCACACTTAAAGGGGCAGGCAACCTTTTTTTTTTTGCTCAATAACTTTTCCCAAAACCGTTTTTTCCTCAATAACTTCCCCCTGATCCTTCTCCTTTCCCCCTCCCCGACCTTTTTTTCCTTGGTGTTCCTCATAAAAAAAAATATTGTTTGGTGTTCTTTGGTCTTAAAAAGTTTAAGAAACACTGTAACTTCAAACCCCAAAACCATGTAAGGGTAAAAGCCAAGTCAAGCGGCAACACCACATACCTGCCAAACAGCAGAGTCTCATTCACTGTAGTTGGATGCATGTGAGAGGCCAGGGCAAATCCTAATGAATGTGTTTTTCTGCTCTCTGCCTCAGGGCTGGAACAGGTAGAAACAGAAAGGAAAACCATTTCACAATGGGGAAAAAGAGAACTAGGGGCAGAGGGGGGAACCACTGAAAACCAGTGGGCAGGAAAAGCAACCCTGTAGTGAGGCAATAAAGGTGGTGAAAAAAGGGAGCAGAGGCAATCAGGTGTGCCCAGCAGGAGCAACCTTAACGACAGTTCTTGGAACACGGGAGTAGCTCCTTCTTTAATGGCAAATCAGCATAGCGCTATTCAGGTCAAGGCAGACCTACAGATTTTTATCAGCTAAGAATCCGGCCCACTAACTCGATGTTTTTTCCTCCATCTCATTTAAAGCCAGAAGAAACCACTGTGATCATTCATCTGAAATACCGCCCCCTCCCCCCCATCAATTTCAGCCAGTGAATTTCTGTATATCGCTCACCACCATGTGCTGGAATGACAGCAGATTGTTTAGAAAGATGTCCAGCACTAATTAAAGGCTCCAAGAAAAGAAGACCCGACCACCAATGTTTTCTCTATTTTTCCAGCCATGTGCGGAATAAAAGTTTTTATTTTGTGCACCAGCGCATGTGAGGATGTGCACCGCCAGTAGAAACACACCCTGCCAGCAGTGGGCACTCTGCTAATCAGCTGGGTGGCATTTAAATCTGTCCTGGGTGGACGACCAAGCACTCAGCTTTATAGGGAACACTGCTGATCACATCCTGTGAGAAGCTCTTCCACTGGTTAATAAACGTCATGGTTAAAAATTGGTGTTTCCAACTTGAACTTTGTTGAGTTCAACCTCCAGACACTGGATATTGTTAAGCCTTTGTCTGCTAGCCTAAAGATCCCTTTTGTATTGAAAAATCTCCAGACCTCAATCGTACCCAGAGCTAGGCAAGATGCAGCCCGGGGGCCAGATCTGGCCCACCTAACACTTTGATCCAGTCCGGGTGTGGCTAGAGCCGTGAGCCCTTTGCTGTGTTTTTAATTCAAAGCCTCCAGCCCCAGACAACTCTGATGGGGGAAGCTAATCCGTAGCTCCCCCTTCCACCCAGGCCCGATCCCTTCTGGGAGTGGAACCAGCCCATGACCACCTACCAAAATTCATTAAGTGGCCCCCCTGAAAACATTATTGCCCACCCCTGCTCTAACCCCTCTAGCCATGAACTATGTTACATACCATTGGTACAATACTGAGTCTCTTTGCAATGTAACATTAGTAAGTGTGGGCTGCATGGCTTATGTTTTATCTTTTGGCCCACTAGGGACCCAGTCGTGCTACACTGCTCATTCAGGCATAGGTCCTTTTAAAGTCTTTAATGCCTAGCTGCATCAGCCACCATCCCATGTAGCAATCGCTGCCACAAAACTCATTACTTACCCCGGGTTACGCCTCACAGTGAAACCGAACTGCTACACTAAGTAAAGGCAAACCCCCATCTTCTGGATCCTATCCAGGCCTGCCCACAAGCTGGGGCAAAAAGGGGGAACTGCCCCAGGGCCCGGAGATTGAAAGGGGCCCAGCGCTTCTGTTACTATGGCAACAGTGCCCCAAACCCCTTTGATTGGTTGACAGAATGTAGGGACACCGCTCTGAGGCCTGAGGAGGGGTGCCATGGTGTGGGCAGTGCTAAGGGCTGACTGTCCTCTGGCCCACCCCTTCTGGAACACAGCCCTCGCCCCCCACACCTTGCTCCCTGGGGCCCACGGTGGCTGTCACCCCACTGATCCTATCTATCCACCTTTCCATGTTATCCAAAGCTTGGTTCTGGCCTGAGTCGTGCAAACCAGATCTACAGCTGGTGAAAATCAGCAAGGCTCCATTGACGTCAGAAAAATGTCCCTTTACATAGCTGAGGATCTGGCCTAGTAATGAAGTAGTTGCCCTCTAATTAACTGAATCGTAAAATATTCTCCAATGGCCAGTCATCTGGTAATAGCCCCAGAGAGTCCGGTAGGTCTCACGTGCTACTTGGCACAACAGCCGGGTGAGGGTCATCTGGTAATAGCCCCAGAGAGTCCGGTAGATCTCATGCGCTACTTGGCACAACAGCCGGGTGAGATTTTTGCTTTTGGAAATCCACCCTTCAAAATCACCAGAAGAGTTCACTGCTGTTGGCCTTGTTTACTCACAAAACCACCGTGTGTGGCTACCCAACAGAGAAGTGAAACAATTTTCAAGAGACGTTTGTTGACCTTCCATACACTTTGTACAAGGTATAAGGCCAGTGTTTATTTACCCAGCAAAACAATAACATAGAAAGACGTTTTGAGATGAACCACGTGATTTACTTCTTAGAATCAAAGGTTTAGTTTAAGTCTCTTGCTTCCCATTTATTGAAACTAGCGTTTTACGATGAAAAACTGTTCAACAGCCTGCCTGGAAACAATTCTACTCATCCTTATAAATTCCTACTGCTGCCACAGAATATATTGTACATGGGCCCTTCTCAAGCACTTGTCAAGGAACCAAAGATGCTTAACTGATATCCTCCAAATTCCCGTGTGTCTGGAACGATTAAAATTGAAAAGTGAGTTTTATTGCACTCTGTTTCCCCGTCCCTTAAGAGTCAGTGATCTCACCATGAATTTGAAAGGCACAAGAAGACACTGTTTGGCTAATGCTTCGTTTCAGTTTGAAACATATTTGTATCATCAGGCATCTTCCAGAGAGCTATAAACTACAAAGCGCTTGGTTTGAGCAAGCAGACTGCTTTGCACCTAGACAAGAACGAACATGCCATTTCTATTTTGCAAATGGGCTTGTATTTTGGGAGTATCTCTTCGGATTATACTTTTATCTAATCCATCCAAGGTAATAATTTGACATATATAATCTTACTAGAAGATTTACCCGGCATTGCTTGGGTAC